GTGAAACCTTGTTTCTACTGAAAATACAATTAACTGGGCATGGTGGCGAGTGTCTGTGATCCCAGCACCTTGGGAGTCTGAGGCAGGAGAATTATTTGAACCTGGGAGGCGGAGGTTGCAGTGAGCCGAGATTGCACTCCAGCTTGGGCAACAAGAATGAAACTTCGTCTCAAAAAAAAGAAAAGAAAAGAAAATGTTCTGGAAATGATGATGATGGTTGCACAACCTTGTGAATATACTAAAAATTACTCAATTGTGTACTTTAAATGGGTAATATGTAGATTATACGCAAAGCTGGGGTGTGTGTGTGTGTGTGTGTGTGTGTGTGTGTGTGTGTGTCTGTCTGTCTGTTTTGTTTTTAAGAAAGTATTAGGTCCGGGCGCGGTGGTTCATACCTGTAATCCCAGCAATTTGGAAGTCCAAGGTGGGCAGATCATTTGAGGTCAGGAGTTCAAGACCAGCCTGATCAACATGGTGAAACCTTGTCTCTACTAAAAATGCAAAAAAATTAGCCGGGCATGGTGGCACTTGTGTGTTGTCCTAGCTACTCGGGAGGCGGGAGAATAGCTTGACCCCGGGAGGTGGAGGTGGCAGTGAGCTGAGATCGTACCACTGCACTCCAGCCTGGGCGACAGAGCAAGACTCTGTCTCAAAAAAAAAAAGAAAGTATCAGAAATAAAATTTTGGAATTTTTTTTTTTGACAGAGTTTCAACTCTGTTGCCCAGGTTGGAGTGTGGTGGCATGATCTCAGTTCATTGCGTGGTGGAATATTTTTACTATTCTCTTTCATGTTCTTTAGAATTTATTACTCAGTATCTCGTTTCATAATGTTTCCTTCCTGTGCAAACATAAGTTCTGACTGATCTTATGTTTGCACAGGAAGGAAACATTATGAAATGAAATTAACTATTGCTTAATTCTTTAGAGTTCTGAATGATATGAATTTAATTTTATACATTTCTTGCAATGTAACTATGGTTTTCAATTCCTATTTTATTTAGCCCTCTATTTCTGGGGTTTAAGGGTATGTAAGTAAACATTAAGAATGAAGGAAGGTCAGGCTTTGGGAAGCCGAGGTGGGTGGATCACCTGAGGTTAGAAGTTCGAGACCAGCCTGGCCAAATAGTGAAACCCCATCTCTACTAAAAAAATTGCCAGGCATGGTGGCAAGGTGCCTGTAATCCCAGCTACTTGGGAGGCTGAGTCAGGAGAACCACTTGAACCTGGAAGGCGGAGGTTGCAGTGAGCCGAGATCATGCCATTGCACTCCAGCTTGGGTGACAGTGCAAAACTCCATGTGAAAAAACAAAAATGAAAGAAAAAAAAATTAATCAAAATAACTTAGAGGGAGAAACTTAGTTATATACTCCTTTGATTTTTTTAAAATTCATAATGTGCTTGGTACTATGTGATGTCTGAAGAACAAAAGAAAATTCATGGAATTCATTTTCAATGAGGTGGATTGTTTTGTTTGATTTGTTTGTTTGTTAGCTTTGGTTTGCTTTGTTTGAGACAGGGCCTCACTCTGTTGCCCAGGCAGGAGTGTAGTAGTGGCACGAACCTGGCTGGCTCACTGTATCCTCCACCTCCAAAGCTCAAACAATCCTCCCACCTCACGCCCCCAAGTAGCTGGAACTACAGGCACACACCGCCACACCTGGCTATTTTTTGTTTTTTATTTTGAGTCTTTCTCACACTGCTGCCCAGGCTGGAGTGCAGTAGCAGGATCTTGGCTCACTGCAGCCTCTGCCGCCTGGGTTTGAGTGATTGTTGTGCCTCAGTCACCCAAGTAGCTGGGATTACAGGCATGTGCCACCATGCCCAGCTAACTTTTGTATTTTTAGTGGAAGTGGGCTTTCACCATGTTGGCCAGGCTGGTTTCGACCTCAAGTGATCTGCCTGCCTTGGCCTCCCAAAGTGCTGATATTATAGACGTGAGCCTTGTTTTGTTTTTGCATTGGGGTCTCACTGTGTTGCCCAGGTTGGACTCAAACTCCTGGGCCCAAGTGATCCTCCTGCTTCAGCCTCTCGAATAGCTGGGACTAGTGGTGCATACCACTGCTCTAGGCTGGATAATCCCTTTAAAGGCTTTTTAAAAAGTACCAGAATTCTGATTGCCCTTTCATCCTCTGGAGATAGAACCTTGTAAGACATTTGAATTTTCAGAATTCCTTTGAGCAAAGATTTAATAAGATTGCAGAAATTATTTAAAATGCTTCTAAATAAGCAAGAATAATTTACCCAGCGTGACTTTCCATAGGCTGGCTTTTGCTTTCCATTGAATTGTGAATCTAATCTGGTCTTCGAAAACCACTATTTTCTTTGTCTCATATTTTTGGAAAAATTCTAACATTCCACGAAAATTTAAACTTGACCCTGATATAAGAGAAAATGTTTGCAGAAAATGCTGTTAACATTCTTTATAATGGTATTTACGGGTTTCATGGAAACCTGGTCTGTCTTTAAGAGACTTGGGAATGCTGATTGATTTCACATAAATGCAAAAAACCTCCATCTTTCCCTTCTTGTATTTAATTGGCATATTGAGCCAGGAATTGTCTTTTTTTTTTTTTTTTTTTTTTTTTTTTTT